TTAAGTTATGTAAATAAAAATAAGTAAAGCAAAGAATTTGCAAACTTGTAATAAAACGAATATAGGGCGCAATAAAGGAGAGACTAGAGTTTGAAATTAATTAACTTTTTTGGCATCCTTGGATTTTAACTCAGAAATCTTATATCAGAGATATCAAAACCAAGTTGGTGTGGCCTTCTGTTTGGCCACATTCTCCTTTAGCCTTATAGTGTTGGTTCTAACTTGTCATCGCATCTTTGTCGGAGCGTCAGAAAGACCATGGGGAACGTACCTAGTTCTGTGTCCTCTGCCATAATTTTGGTAATTTCAAGCATTGGAACAATGGCTTGTTACATTCCTAAACGTTTTTCCGGCTTTGTAGTAGGCATCGTCGGTGAGAAGCGCCATAGTAAGCACAGAAATACAACGTATCAATGTGTCAAGAAAAGGCAATCTCATTGACCAATTTTCTGTTCAACCGCCTTGGCATCACTCATCGGCCCCATTTTTTATGCTCCCTTTTATTGCCGCATCTGTTTCACTCACTTTATATGGCCCATCCTCTTATTCACACAATTCTGTGCTCTCATTTCCTCCAATTTCTCCTAAAATTGTGTCGCTACAAATGGGTTTAATAAAGAGTTATAATCTCCACCACCCGTACTAGATGCCGTTTGCTGGGCTTCTAAACTTTATTCTGTCCCCCCTTTTTTCCCACCCGCTTGTCAATTGGCCGCTGATAGACATCAAAATCACTGTTTGGCTGTCTGCAATCTGGCTTCTTGTGGGCCATCCTCGATTACACCATATTCGATAATTAGAGCAGATGATGTCCATATCTATTCTCATGCACATGCCAGTGTCTGGGATACTTCTCTCCCTATGCTTCTAACTCATGACTATATTATCTTCTCGCTTATCCGCACCTACATTGTGTCTCATTCTTCTTGGCCTTGTGTCCGGTTTCAGTCATAACCGTTGGTGTCGAAAGGCTCCGCTTCTCCTTTATCCTTTGAATGGCGAAAAACATATTCCTATCGTCTCTTAAGTTACCAGTCTCATCTAATTCTAGGGTACTAGAATGAGGTTCATGTGCATGCTGGATGGTACCCCGTGGTCAAATATGTCACCAGTACACTCTCTTTTAGACACGGATACTAAAAATACACTAATAACGTACTCATACACGCTGGTAACCTATATCTGACCTACCTATACCTTTAGCCTTTGACTTCATATCCTACATCTCTCAGGTGAACTCCCTGGGTAAATTTGTTTGGCTACTTCCACGTCTGACTACTCTGACTGCAGTTGCCTTTTTTGACTTCCCTTTGTTCCTCATGAGCCGCTCGCTAGTGATGTATCTTCCTACTGTTGAACAGCTGCCCTGGGTTCAAGCGTCTTCTTTTTGATGTATTCGCTGAATCTCCAAGTCTGCTCAAGCAGTACACGAAATTATTGCTGACTCCTTTCACTTCCA